TAATAGCGTATATATTATTATATATATATATATATACATATAATATATATATATATATATATGTGTGTGTGTGTGTGAATATATATATATATATATATATATAAAAGACTTGAGACATACGTGGTCACCAGCGTTAATAGCCTCGTAAATGGATCCCTCAGGAATGATGGCGTCGTATGTATCCTCTGTGTCATCACTGCTGTCTTCTACGTGTACATCCTCCTCGTTAGCACGAACGACACCTACAGTAGAACGAAAGTATGACATATTAATACGACAGGACGACTACATCGTGACAAACGTAGAAAACTTCAACACTAATGAAATTTTGAATAATGGAAGCGTGTGTATATGTATATGCCGTATTCTATCAAATCACCACATTCACGGCAGTACACGGGAGAATAGCGACTCATGCTGTACTCTGCAGAGGAGACGATAAACCAGACCTCCAATCAACAGGTTGTTTTAAGATGTGTGTTGATAAAATCTGATCTGATCAGCGTCGCTACTATTTAATGTCTGCCAACGTTACACTTTGTTCTATTATCGTGTGTCGTATGGGGAGTCGAAGGTACATGTTTCATCATCACCTCTACATATAGTTGGCGAGCATACTAGAGCTTAAGATATAATAGGTTATATTCTACAATAGATCTGAAAAAAGAGCCCCTGAAATATATGCAAAATACAAACCTTGAATGAATTCAAAATACAAACCTTGAATGAATGCAGAAAGTGAAATAGTGCACTCGTGCAACCGCATATCTACATGCGCACATACACATTAGGTATGTGACAAAAACACATACTCAGTAGACAAGCTAAGCTGACCAGAAGCAGAAGCAGAGCCTTCAGGTTGAATCCAAACATTATCATAAGCTATACCACTGCACTCCAACACATACACAATACTACAGTAATACTACTGTATTATGTATATATCGTATTATTTATATATTGTTGGTATTTTTTATTGTGCCTGTACAATCTCAGCTTGTTCCTGCGGAATATTTCACCGGAATGTGTCGAAATGTAAACAACAGATCCGGGTGCAAAAAGCCCAATTGTTATGAGAAAAGGTGAAAAAAGCCCGACCAAATGATAAGTGAAAAGGACCGAATGGCTCTTTCCTATCCCGGAACTGCTGCATGATAAGTTTCGGGACAGGGTCAGAAAAAAATATTTCAAATGATCAACAATGGTTTGTTTTGTTAAAAAACTAAAAAGACGGTGGGGCTGCTCACTGCTGGCACTGGCATTTGGCAGGGCTGGGCCGCTGCGGCGCTCGCTGGGGTATGGGTGGGGGGTTAGAACAAAAAATATATATATATATGGTTTTTTAGAACATTTTTTACAAAACTATTTTTATATTTATGTAAATAAATATGAAAATATTTTACAAACCGAATGAAACCATTTTGTTAAAAAAAAAAAATCCTACGGACTTGTCCGTTCTCCCTCCTTTTTGTTTTTGGGGGGTTTTTTTTAAATAATATCATTTCTATTCACTTTTTTTATAGAAACAATTTATAAAAGGTCATGTTTTTATTTATCTTCGTGTAATATCCACAAGAGACCAGTTCGGTACAGGGTCTTGGTACCGAACTGTTAATGTCTACCACTTGGAAAGGGTTCAGCGATAGCTGTCAGGATGATTTGGGAGCTGATATAGTCTATCTGTTGAGCTGATGTGACAGGTGATGGAGTATGAGAAAGCTAGGGTAACACACTATGCTGTGTAGAGGATTGGTGGATCACGAGGACAGGGAGGAAGACTTCTTAGGAAGGAAGTGTCGTGGATACAGTTGCAATACAGTGTGGAAAGAAGAAGGTGCAGCAGAGGCCTATGCTACGCTAGATCATTTTATTATCTGAGTGACTCAACAATCGATTTCCGCGTTGGATAAGACCATACAGAATATGAAAGGGGTTGTCAAGCGAATAGACAACTTAAAGCTGATGACACATGTGCAAAACGCTAAGGAGGTTATTTTTCTATTTCGGCTACTAAGTCAACAATTTCGAGAATTTTTCGTATATAGGTTGACTCGTCTTAAGACAGTGAGACAAATTTTGTCAGGTGCCGACCGGATTCTACAAATTCTGAACTTGCCAGATACACACGTGGGACAATGTCATGTGTTTGTCCATCTAGGGCTGAGCCAGTCATCACTGTACAGGAGCTCGTTGATTCATTCAGTTAAAATATATGCTGGTGGCTAAAGGAAAACACTACAAGTTAGAACTGGGTAGAACTGATACAGAGCTGACTTGGAATTTTAGAACGACTTATGTCGATCATATAAAAAGTTCAAGTTTAAAAGGATTTAAAACTTGTCGAAGGTGGAAGTGATTGCTGAGACACATATGTAGAAATACGGCCTTCTGTTGGTCTAAAATATCATGATCAAATGAGATAACATTGGTTTTTATTTGTATTAAAAATAATTTGATACAAGTTCTTTTTCCAATATTTCCAAAGTGTTCTAAATTCACTTTGATGGCTCCAATAGCCTGAGTATTTGGTATGACTCTTTTTCTTGGACCTATTTGAGACGATAGTAGATGTATGATATTATAAACTAATTTTTATAATCTCTGAAATACTACTTACAGGTTTTGGTCCTCTTGCCAATCTCCAAAATCCAATAAGTATTTTTCGTTTTTTAACTTTTCTTCAGATGGAACTTTATTTATATTAGCTAATGTATTAACTTAGCTTACGTTCTTATGTCTAAATTAGTACTTCTAGTGAAAATTATTCAATAAAGAACAGCTAGAGATACGTCCTGTGTAGTCGAGGATACTAAGACTCTTACCAAGAGGCAGTCCCGATCATTTTTACACAAGCTACTACTGCTAAATCCTAACTGACTTAAATTGTATCTTGGTCTATATAACATAGTTTATAACATAGAAATATCCATCAAAGTTTACATTTGTTTTTCAGCTATTTAGTAGTTACTGTAGTGTACTGCTTCTAGACGATTAATTGTAACATTCGGTCTATTAAGGCAATATTAACGTCTTAGAGTAAATAAACGCGTAGGTAAATTCTAAGTATCGTGAAAATATCAAAGTATATAATCGAAATGAGACTTTTAGTAAAGTGAGGTATGCCTCGTGAAAACAGCAATACTCTGAGGAGTTGTGAGGCCGAGCCATTGCCTATATATAATCCTCTCAGTACTGTTTACACCGAAGGGATTTTATTTAGTGCTTCGTTGTCGCTCTATTAGAAACTATGGTATGTTTCATTGGGGCGAATCTGAGACTCATAAAATTCTATCTTTAGAAGAAAAGAAAGAATACTCTTGATGTCCTTAGCTATTGTCTTAACCAATAACTTGCCACTTATCAATAATTATCGACTTAACCTTCATCAGACTGGCACATCTGGTTGGCTGATCGGAGGATCAACTAGGTAACGTTAATAGTCCCTAGAAACCTATATTCGGTTGAGCCATTTCGCTACCGAAGTATTCAGATATAAATAAAGTTGGAAAGTAAATATAGTTATATTAATAGAACTAGACCAACTCTTATGTTTGGTACTTTACTGGGGCCTTTTGATGGCCTCGTCCAAATATCTGATATGTAAAATGGAAAACGTATTAATTAATAAAACCATTGAAAACCAATTTAGGAAATTTATGTTCCTCGCGTTATTAAGAGCACATTTAGGAATCCTAAGTTCCTCGTGTAAGATTCAGTCTAATAAAGGCGATACTAATGCCTTAGAATAAATAAACGCGTAGGTAAATTCTAAATATCGTGTAAATATAGATATAAATAAACGAAATGAGACGTTTAATAAAGTTAGGTTTGCCTCGTAAAAACAGCAATACTCTGATGGATTGTGAGGCCGAGACATTGCCTATATATAATCCTCTCAGTATTGTTTCTGCCGAAGGGATTTTATTTAGTGTTTCGTTGTCGCTCTATTCTGGGGCGAATCCGAGAGACTCATAAAATCCTATCTTTAGAAAAAAGAAATAAAAGAAATAAAAATACTCTTGACGTCCTTAGTTATTGTCTTAACCAATAACTTGCCACTATCAAGAATTACTGACTTAGCCTTCATCAGACTGGCACATCTGGTTGGCTTATCGGAGGATCAACTAGGTAACGTTGATAGTCCCTAGAAAACTATATTCGGTTGAGCCATCTTGCTACCGAAGTATTCAGATATATATAAAATTGGAAAGTAAATAAAGCTCTATTAATAGAACTAGAACAACTCTTTTATGTTTGGTATTTTACTGAGGCCTTTTGATGGCCTCATCCAAATATCTGATATGTTAAATAGAAAAGGTTTAATTAATAAAACCATTAAAACCCATTTTAGGAAACTTAAGTTCCTCGTGATATTAAGAGCACATTTAGGAGACTTAAGTTCCTCGTACTGTTAAGAGTACATTTAGGAAACCTAAGTTCCTCGTACTATCAAGAGTACATTTAGGAAACTAAAGTTCCTCGTACTATTAAGAGTACGTTTATAATTTGCGTACTGCTTAAGAGTACGTTTATAACATAGAGTCTAATATGGAGGCCCGGCTATTACACAGCCCCCACCCAGCTTTGAGACCCATGAGAAGCAAGTTGCTCACTCAAGCTGATTATGGATCAAAAAGCGAGAAAGGAAAACGGGTCGAAAACAAAGTAGCATAACATATAGTTAATGTTTCTCAGGTAGAGAAGTTAAGCGTTCTCGGTTACCCAGTGAATTTTGGTCTTAGGTTCAGTAGATCCGTGGTGGTCGACTGGACGTTTCTTACGCTTCAGTGTCTTAACTAAAGCCCGGGATAAATGCTGTAGGCGGATAAGTTTTAACTTCCGTGCCTTCAGACGATGGAAACATGATATCTTTTTCAGCTTGTGACTTATGCAGGCGTTTACGCCATTTTCGATTAAAGGCTTTTAAATAGTCTTGATTATCGAAAGCATCTGAAGTCAACTCGACTATTGTACCGTCTATAAAGCGTGTATTTAAATTCAGAACGATCAAGAGGGGCAGTAGAGTCATGTTGTCTTGCGAATATAATCTCTGTAGTCGGAATACGACTTATGCCTATATTAAGCGCACTAGAACCATCGGGGTTATTTACCTCGTACGTTCAGACTGGATTTGGCCTTGCGGTGGTAACGGCCATGCAACGCGTACAATTTCGGGATGTAGAAGTTGAGGATGAGGGCCCGTGGGAGATGGATGGGAAGTGGACTCGATAATTCCGGTTGTGAACAGTCCGTTGGCTCCGAAGCCGGTACAGGTAAGTGACATTCCTCAATTTGTGTCTTTATATGCTTCCGGCAGTGCGTCGATTTTCCCTCCATCGGTAACGGTTGCAAGTGAGGACACGGCGTCCCCCTTGCACGACCCTGTGGAAGCTCCATGTTCGGAGACTTTTGTAGTAAGTAGTCGAGGATAACTGTATCTCAACGTAATCCCCTCGTACAAGGGGAGACGTTGTTCATTTATTGAACTGATATCCTGTGACTATTATTTTGGTCATGTGTTTTCCTTTAATCAGTTTTAACCTGATTGAATAAACCCAATTCAAAATATAGTCTCTAAATAAAACCCAAATATCAAATAAACTCTAATCCTAAATAAACCCTATCAGGTACTTCCTGACTACAAACCCCCCCCCAACCCCAACCCCCCTCCCCAAGCTGAAACACCACAAGTGTGCGAGCTTAAAATATTGAAGTAATGCCCTGAAAAGCGGTTGCGTACTGACATTTATCCTCAGAGAGCTAGAGCATTGTGCTGGCATTTAACCTCAGCGAGCTACAGGGCTCGGCTATTTGTTCACCGCTCGAGCTGGTGACTAGACGGTAAGTAAACGTAACTTAAAATTATATCTATTAACAAAATTATCTTCTAACTATAACTGGTCTCTCCGGCGTTTCCGAGCTCGTGTCTGTGTATCTTTGTGATATGCCATAATGTCGTTAGC